TTCCAGCCCGCAGAAATGCGGGCCATTTTGGCCCGCCCCGTTTGGACCGCGGGCCAGCACGGGCCGGAGCGGGCCGGGCCGGAGCGGCCCGTTTGACAGTGCTAGTTGACACGCACTAACATAACAAGATGGCAGAATAAAGGAACATAACTCTTATGGAGATAGTTAGGTTTATGATGAGTTTTTCAGACTTACTGGACTCGTTTTGGGGAATGGACATGGAAACAACAACGTATATCTTGAACATGGTTCCATCCACAGTTCTAAAAATTGGCCTAGGCGTCGCCTAGGCGCTAGACGGTACCCGGGCGCCTCCGATTTGCACAAATCGACAGAAAAAATCGGTCAGGCGGCTAGGCGGCCCTAGGCGCTCCTAGGCGGACTTGGTGGACTCGGCGGCTAGACGGTTAGGCGACGCCTAGGCGGGCATAGGCGGACCTAGGCGCTCCTAGGCGGGATCGGCGGCGATTTTACAGCTTTTTTTATTTTTTTTTAAATACTAATTACATTATTTTATTCTCATGTTTTCTTTAAAATATATTAATTTTATTATTTGGACTTATGTGTGTTGATTTATTATAAGTTGAGATAATTTTATTTTGTACGTAATTAAATAAATAAAAAATAAGGTATTTAATATTGATTTCTAAGCCCCGCCTAGGCGCTCTAGGTGCTAGGCGCTGGTCGAGCGCCTAGCGGGCGCCTAGCGACTTTTAGAATACTGGTTCCATCTAAGTCAGTTGCCACTACTTTGAGTGAACTGTGGAATAAGAACAAGCCCTATATCGATTTTTGGATTTGAAGTAGTCCTACGCTTGTGATGAGGCAGGATAATGATATGTTCGAAAAGTGTTAAGAAGTATGGTTGTTTGTGGGCTATCCGAATGAAATAATATGGGGTTTATTTTATAATCCCAAGGATCTAAAGGTGACTGTTAGCAAGAAGACTAGATACTTGGATGATTATTATATTCTTAACTACAAGCATGCGAGTAGAATTGACTTAGAGGAGTTGAGGGGTGAAGTCACGTGTCCATTACTGAATACGCAAGTTGGTACACCAACATAATACTGC